TAAGACAACCGTGAAACGGCTGGTCTCGTCTGATACTGGCGGCCCCACAGCCGCCCAATGCTTGACGGCACTGGAAGTTCTACTTGCTGGAGGTTCCGGGCACGAATACCAGAGGCGGTGTCTGAGCAACAATCGCACAAATCCGACTTTATGGCCAACGGGGCGTTCGTCCCGAGGAATGTTTTACAACATCATGGAGGCTGCGGCTGAGGCCGCCTTCAACGTGGACCGCCGTCGCCTGCAGCAACCCGTTCGGGCAGTGGCCTTGGCTGAGGAGCCGAATGCCAAGAGTAGTATCCATGCCGGTTTTCAGTGCGTCGTGTGTTGCAGGATGCAAGAGGCGGCTTCGAGCTTTTGAAGGTGCGGTACGTCATGGCCGACTGGTCCGTTCATTGCCGCATGCTAGACCTGGCCACGGCTGAGAAGGCTGGGCAGCACGTGAGCCAGGGCAGATCGGGTTCCAGTACAGTAGCCCTGCCAGCCGAGGCCGCACTGGAGAAAGCCAGATCGCTGCCTGACACCCTGGCCAGCTTCTTGCCGGAGGAAGCCCTCCGGAATGCTTTCAAAGACAAGATCCGCATCTTTATGGCCGACGGGGAATTTAGCGAGCCTCTGGCGGCACGGCTGAGTAAAGTGCCTCGCTTGCAGTTTCTGCGGATTTCAAGAACAGCATATTGAATGTTTGAAGGACCGCACCTTCACATGAGGTCCAGGGAACCCTGCCGGGATTGAAGGCGATTATGAGATGCTCCGTCCATAGTGGACAAAGGTCGCTCGAAAAGGCCTTGTCGTCTGACCCGGATGTGCAGGGTCTTCTCCAGAGCTGGGTGCTTGGATTTTCCGATGGCAGTGGGAAAAATCCAGGAGGATTTTGCAGGGCTGTGCGAAACTCGCTGAAGCTCCAGCGGCTGACGGCAGAGAAGCAGCTTGAGGGTGTGGACGAAAGCCTGAGGCGATTGTGCCACTTCGGCTTTGCACCCCAACGTTTCAACACCGTCTGCGATGCTTGCGTCAACGTGGCTGAGAACATAGATGCGGTCTGCAATGTCCTGAGCCATCTCGCAGCGGTGGATGATGCACTGTCAGGCCACTCAACTGATCGTGCTCGTTCATGAGTCCCCGTGGATGGCGAGGCCTTTGCTTAGCCGATGTTTTTGTCTGTGCTGTCTGAGGTTGGGCCACTAAGCTTCTTCAACAATGCTTTCAGCCGGAGAAGCTCCTCCAACTTGGCTTGATCGCGGAGCTTGCCTGTGCCGCTGCGAGCCGCGACTGCAGGAATCAGTCTTGTTTGCAAGTCTTCTCTGGCAAGAGATCCAAGGAAATTCAACCACTCACTGGACGGCCAACATCTGCGATTGGCTGCGACAGCCCACAATCTTCAGCAGCTCGAGCGTCTGATCAATCGACTCTTCGACTTTCGGAGTCCGGCAGGAGAGCTGCAGCAGCCGCTGGTTCTGGATGATGCCTATGCACATGGCTACGTACAAAGACTGCAGGCGACTCTAAAGCTTGAGCAGAACAAGTGCCTGGTTGTAAAGCAAAAGATGATCTTCTGGCACAGCGGCGCCAACAGGAACAAGATACGTTCCTTCGTGGCCAAAGAACTCGGTGCCATTCGCAACATCGCTCAGCTTTTTGTTCAAGGCCTGAAAGCCGATGTGGAGGTTGGCGTCCAGGCATCGCTTTCTCCGTTTGATGTCAACCATACCCTGTGCAGCGACGAAGCTTTGCCAGAGCCACAGGATCCATGATCTTCTGTGCGATTCTGCTCCTGTAATAATCACCGCTACTAACATCCGATGCCAAGGCCTGACATCTTCAAGCCGCTAGCAGAGGCTGCACAAGTGGAGGTCTGGAGCCCACACCGCTTCAGCGGGACCGAGGCTGTGATGTTCAACCGCTCAGGTGACACAGCTGGCCAAAGAGTTCCTCTTGGCACGTCCTACAGCCTTGCTGGTGAAGTCACAGCCTCCCGGCGACAAGTCTTTTCTTCGGAGGCCCTTCACTCCAAGACGAACAGTGCATGACTGAGGACCGGAGGCGAGGATTTGAATGAGATCTGGTCCAGGACCATGCGGCATTGGTCTGACAAACTCCCGGCTTTGTCTGAAGCGGCTCCTTACCTGCCTAGCTCAGTGTCTTTGAGCTGTGGGATTAAACGTGAGACGACGAAAGCCATTCTGTCCTGAGGCTGCCCTCGTCCTGAGTTGCTTCCCGAGCACCGGCGAGATTGAGCAGAATTTCAGCTGGCTGCAGCAGTTCTCGGAGGGGAGAAAGGGCAAGACTTCGCGGGGACACCTTCGGCAACTCGGCTCATGTCAAGTCCATCTTGTCGTCCTGCATGGGACCAGAAATTTGAAAATCTTCTGCTCTCAGTCTCTGTCGAAGTGCCAGGTCATTAATGAAGGTCCGCCTCGACGGGCCGACAGCCGACCAACTCGTCTGTCGCGAGCCCCACAGCATCCTCCCGAGAAAGCCGTGCCTGAAACTGCTGCAAGAATACCGTCGCCTGTTTGCTCCGAGCGGCGGCTCGCAAGGATGCCGCAGCTCACTGGGTCGTCGGGTTCTGAACGGCCGCCTGAACCCGCTTTCAAGAGCTGGCTTGAAGCGACAGCGAGGGCTGGAGCAGCAGCAACTCTTGCAACAGGCGCCGGCGGAGTCTCAGCCTGAAGACCTCGCTACTTTGGAGGCTGAAGCCGGCGAATCAGCCAAACGTCGCAGGACTGACAAGCAAGTTAGCCTGACTGCCGCCCTGGAAAAGTACAAGACCAAGAAGGAGGAATGGGCGACACTTGATGCTTCGTCCGAAGCAGCCGCTGCTGGCCGCCTGATAGAAAAAGAGCGGGAGGCTGAAAAACGCTTCGAGAAGCTGAAGAAGATCGGCGTGGCCAGACTTTCAGCCGTGCGGTCTGATGTCCTTGCGGCCGACCGCGACCGTTTGATCATGGTGGTGCATGGCCATGACTCCAGCAAGACACCGGGCCTGCCTGATCTTGAACGACTGGGCAATGCTCGTGCTTGGCCTGAGTCGATCGAAGACCAAAGAAATTTGGTTTACGATCTGCTTCGTCATACATCTGAGGACTGCGGCAGTCATCGACTCCTCTACTGGGTCTGCTTGTCTGACGAGGTCGAGCGTGACTTCATCTTCAAGCCGTCTGAGAGTGCTTTCTCGGCTGTTGCTCGCCACTTGGGAGGCGGTTTTTGCGGTCGACAATGGGTGCAGGCATGCATGGATGAGGGCCGTCTCTTGCCAGCCTTGACATGCCTGAAAAGCAGCTTGACGACGACACAGGAGCTGTGCTTGCATAGCTCCTGTATGTCTGACGACTCTGCTTTGCCCGCCACTCGGATGCTGGGTGCTGTTCTCGATGCCGCGGAGAGGGCTGACATTACAATTTCATGGACACGTCGCAAGAGATGGCGAGATGTTACCTGCAAGAAGTGTTCTGTCATAGTCGACGGTGAGACGGCTGAGAAGTACAGGAAGAAGAAGCAGAGGCATCCGGGCTGTCTGATGACAGTGGCGGAGTTCATCGCTGCCAGCAACACGGCTCTTTTTTTCGTTGGTATTCGCACACAAGCTATAGGTCATGACTTTGCACATGTACATGCAGTTCTCTACTCAGGCACGAAGTGGACTGACACCTGATACCGCCCGATGCTGCCTGAACGACTGAGCAACGATGCCAAGGCCATATTTTCATCTTGTCCAATCTAACTTGATACTTGTCTTGGTCAGGCACTTCCACACAGCCATCGAGTGCTTGACAAGTGGTCGGCGTGCACCGGCTCCGACTGATTCGTCAGGAACCTTGCTGCAATTGTTATTTCTCTTGATTCCTGCCCTTACGTTCTCAGTGATCCTAGGTACCAAAGATGTGTGGTTTGCTGCGACAGCAATGCCGCCGAGTCGCACTGCTGTCCCTTTGCTGTGGGTTCCCTTCTTGCTCTCTTTCTGAATGAATCCTAGGCAGTCGTGCTCTGCCTACTACACGGCCTGAAAGCCAGGGGTGGGGCTGCCTTGAGCGCCTCGGGGATGTTTCCTTAAGTGAAACAGTCTGAATTTCACGACGTCTGATATCCATCTTGCAGTCGCGACACAATTATCCTCAAAACATAGCTTTCTATGTGATCTCGGCTGTTTCCACGGAAACTCGCTTTGTAGATGACTGATGAGTTTGGGGTGGAGCCGGGGAGACCAAAAAGTGCCGTCGCAGATCTGTCTGAGAAGTTGTGCTTGCATCGGCTTTGCCACTGTCCTGCTTTGCTTCGGCGCCTGCCGACCGCTGAGGTTTGACCCCGGCGGCAGAGTGAGTGCCGAAGCCTGAAGCATCGAAGCCACAACACAACATCGCCTGACAAATCACAAGCTAAAGCCTGAAGCATCGAAGCCACAACACAACATCATTCTCACCTGGAATCGAGCAAGTGATGCGTGGAAAGAAGTGTTGGACGTCGCCATGATGTGCTGTAGATGCTTAGTTTCCGGTATAAAAGTTTCAACTTTTATCGCCCGGGCCTTTCAGCCAGTAAGTTAAAAAGTACTTAAGTACCTATACTATTTTGTTACTATACAATTTTGGGGGGTTCCTTGAAATAATTAGATCATACCAAAACCCTTTTCTAATTGTTACGGCCTCCTGTACATCTCCGAATGACCAAGATCGGTTAGCTACAAGACCTCATCCCTCCGTCGGCTGGTGGCGGAGGGTTGGGTTGAGATCAGGGATCTTTGTTTGGTCTTGTTGTTGCAAGAGCACCAGAGAGTGGAAAGCAGTCTCCAAAAAACGAAAGCTGCAAGGGTTCCGGGCCTGAGCTTACAGAGGTGGCATGGGAGTGCGGCGAGCCTGAACGGCTAGACCCCACGGTTATGGTCACTATAGGCCCTTGTATCCTGAAACGTTTCGGAACTCAAAGGGAACTCTAAGCCTAAACCCTGTCCTGACATCTGGTCCACTGCCTGAAACCGGCCTTGTCCAAAGCAGCCCGCCGCCGAGGAGGAGACAAGTTCGTGGTGCCTTGGTGTTAATTAGGGCGTGTCAGCATGTGTGTAGTTCTCTAAATCAGGGTCCTCTTGTAAGTCCACAACCAAAGGAGGACACACTTTGAAAAGAGGGCCCTAAACGGCAGCCTCACTAAGAAAAACTACCGGTGCAGAGTTCTCCGAGGCCTCAGTCCAGGGTTTGAGGTTCACTGTTCAGGATCTAGGGCGAAAATTGGGCGGTGGGTGTAGAGGGTGGATGTTCAGGGCTTATTATGGCTTGGTTGGCTTTGCTGTAAGATCCTCAACAACGTACACTGCTTGCGCGGATGAGCAGGTCCAAATACTAGATGTGTTCGGTTTGGTATCCAGGGAAGCACGCATCCTAATTCCTGGGCAGACAAGGCAAAATACAATTCCGAAGAAGTTGGGTTTCAGAGCGCGAGGTAATTTACTGTAGGATCCCACAGGCCCTGTCCAGGCGTCCTGCGTTTTCTGTTAATGTCCAGACTGCGAGGACCTCTACCTCTTTAGGCCAGGATTTGACACATACATGGAATATACAGGATTCCTACGTCGTGGAGCTGTTTTGGTCGGTTCCTTGGTGGGTCAAGGCATCCTGCACGCTTGAAGCCCTTTGTGCCCCGAGACTTGAGCCTTTATGTACAAGCTTACGGCCACGCGACTTGAAGGTTTCGCTCAGTTCAGCTTCTTCAGTCGATGCGTGGTCTCGGCTGCCCAGCTTCAATAAGATTTGTCTTTTCCTTCGTTGTCAGCAATTACTGTCAGAGGTTGTCCTCTTCGCGACAGCAAGTTCGGGTGTGTTTGACAGCATCTGGCAATTCGGCACTCCCTCGCCTGAGTTTTTGCCTTCTTGCAGTAGGAGTGTCTACCTCGCAGCACCGAGCTTCTACAACTCAAGACTGTCCTGATTCAATCTCTAGCAGCTGATCTCACCCCGGAAGTGGTTGAGGGGGCATAGGGTTTAGTGCTAGAATTGAAGTGTGAGGTGTAGGTGGCTAGTCGAGGTTGAGCTGGGACAGAAACCAACACTTTGGCCGAAGGTGTACAGCCGAACGAGATCAACCTCAGCGTTCCTTGGACACAGGGTTCAGGATTCAGGCAAAGTTTGTGTTGGTTGGGGAACTTCAGAAACAGCCAGTATGCAAAACCTAGGAAGTAGGCTGGAAGACGAATATGCCGGTCTTCAACGCCGGTTCGACAGCCCTTGCTTTGCAGCACCGACGGCGAAGGCAAGAAGACAATGGTATTGGAGAAGATGCAACATATCGGTCAGCATAGCATCAACCAGAAGTGCGCTTCATTCCCAACCCCTCCCCCCAAAGGGTGTATCAGGGTTTACTTAAGTTAGTGCTTCGGTTTTACGGCTTCAACGGCAAAAAAAGGGTTTGACAAAACGACGCCGTTTCTTGGGTTTGACAGTATAAGGTGGCATTGAAAGCCTGCCGCTCTGCCGGCCACTGGCCCGCGGCTCTGACCGTGCAACCCGGCAGTCAGGAGTTTAACGGTCAAAAAATATTCAGCAGGAGAGGGTTTTATAGGGTTTAGGCTTGGGGACAGTAACACAATAGTGCCGCCTTTAAGCATCGCCTTATGTTGACACTGGCTGGAACTGTCTCTTTCCGCAGCGGCGCCTCCAATGACCTGCTAATTGTGGTCTTTGAGGCTTGTTTCGAGTTTAGCTCCGAAACATACGGTCAGGCAATTGGCAAACGAAGCCTGGTTGCTGTACCCTGTCAACCCTATTCCGAAGGAATCCTGGATCCCCGAACCTTAGCCCGAAGGCCCAAACGGCCCCCAGTTCCCCAACGATCCCTGAACCCTCAACAGGTCCAAAACCTCGCGAAGAACGGAATTCGCAAGCCGCTGACAACCCCCTATAACCCTTCCCTAAACTTCAACCGCACCCTGAACCCATAAGCCCAAACCCCAACCCCAAAAGAGTCTTAAATCAAAAGCACTTCATACAAACCCTCTAAGTAACACCCTTAAAATCCTAAACCCTAAGCCCTAATTATAAAACTCTACTCCCGAAACCGCAACCCATAGAACCCCAACGATTTCCCTGCGGTGCGACTCTGTCAGCTGGGCGGGTGGGAAAAAAAATCTTGAGGCTCCACGGAGCCGATACTGAGCCGATTTCGACCAACGCGCTCCACTACGGCCTGGTGCTCGCCTTAGAAGGGTTTCTACCAAGTTCTTAGGGGAACCCTTGAAGGAGCCCTTCAAAGGAACCCTTTGAAGGGACACTTAAAGTGGTTTTCTTTGGTGCTAAAGGGGGCTCTGGAGGAGTTTTTGAAGAAACAGTCTCGCCTGTGGCTCCAGTTATGGACACTGCACTGCCGTTGTCTCCTTCCTTTTTGCATCCTGACTCTCCCTCCTCCCCCCTCTCGCTCCTCTCTTCCCCTGCTCCCTCTCTCCCTCCTGTCTGCTCCTCCTCTCTCCCCTCTCCCTCTTCCTCTCTCCTCTCCCCTTTGCTTCGTCTCCTCCTCCCCGGTCTTCTCTCGTACTTGTTACGCTTATACAGCTACACAGCAACATGAGGCTTAATAACCTACGACTTTGGGTGCTACAGGCGGCCTCATGTGGATATTCGGGTCGGTGCTCATGCTTGCCGTGGAACATCTCTTGGGTTTGGCGGTAGCTAGACTTCGCTGTCAGCTTGCTCTAGTCTCCGCAATGGAATTCCGGCAATGGGCGAGTCTATGGGGTTGCAGAAGGTTGGACCTCAGCTCTGGGGAACCTCAACTTCTGAAGCCTTGAAAGCCCCAAACCCCTTAAAGCCAGACAGAAAACCAATCCTAAACCCTTTTAAATACCTAAACCCTATAAACCCCATAAACCCCAAACCCCTAAACCCTAACCCTAACCCACCCCACAATCCTTTGGTGGGAAGCTTCGGGCATGTCCACTGCCTTTGGCTCTGGCCTTGGCCATCTTCGATTTCAGGGAAGCCCAGGGGCGGAAAAAACGGCTAAAGAAGACCTACATACGGTTGATACCCAGGGTTAGGAATATGCCATAATTCCCATCGTTTAGGGTCCTTAAGGTACTGCAGGATGTATACCATCAACAACCGTAGTTACCGATTACCAGTATAGTTAGGAGCATATCTACGGTCTCCATCTCCCGGGTTCCATGAGATATACTATCGAGTTGGGGTCTTGACCTTAAACTTCCTAATCGGTCGGTTCTCAGCTGGGTTGTAGACTCATCCAGGGGGTCTCAAATTGCCAGTAATTCTCTGTGTAGGAAGGGCAGCCCGCATGTGAGGAGGCGCCACTTCAAAAGCTATGCACAGCAGACCGAAACTCCACCTTGCTGCCCTAGGCTTTGGGAACCATGCGGCATGGCTCACCTTGGCCGCGTGGCGAAGGTTATCCGGAAGCCTCAGGGGCAAACTATCACAGTGGTGCATGGCATCATGGTTGCTACCATTAGAACCGTGAGTCCCTTTCAACTAACACAGGCGTTGTCTAAGAGGTTTTGGCCGGCCTTTGCCTTGTCCGTGGTGTGGTTCTTGGGTTTTCTGTTCTAAGATGTGTCGGGCTCATAGGGTTTTTGCGGCTTGGCGCAGAATCTTCCAAGGTTGAACAGTAGACGGCTTCTATACCATTTTCAGGAAACCTAAGGCCTAAGGAATGGTTATTCCAAGTTGTTCAGGCCTGTAGTAGGAACTCCTGGGAGACTTCCAATTCCATCTCAGGAATTGGGCCGTCACCCTGTTGTCATCGGCAGTGCCGCGCCCGGATGTCACGGGACGTCCTCCGCCATATGAAGCAAGCACGGAACCTGAAAGCAGAAGCGGCTTCTGAAATCCGCTTTCGAACATGACAAAACAATGCAGGGGTCCGAACACTACATGTAATAGGATCCCCTGCTATCCCTTACCAAAGTATGATATGATATACCTCCCAAACCCTATTGTGACTCTGCATGGACTGTCAGTCATCCGTGTCTTCCACTTAATTCAATTTGTCGAACAACTGCCGTACCGTGTGTAGGGTCCTTATAATATCCGCTTCGGCTTTACTGTTGAACTCGTTTCGGGGCTTTCCAGCTTCGGGCTATGATTTATTGTTTAGAGTTCTGAGTGTAGGAAGTTTAGGGTTCATGCTTTCGAATCTTCAGCAAAGCTTCGGATGTACAGTCAATGACCAGAGCTTCCCCAAAGCTGTCGCAAGTCAGAAACTTTCGAAAGTACACACGTGTCAGTTCTGCCGCCTCGTCATATCAACCTGTACAAAATTGGTCAAGCTTGCAATGTAAGCCTTATGGACCAGAAAATCCTGATTTGTGGCCTTTTGCAAGAGGTGCGCCGCTCCATTTCATTGAGCCCCGCGCTTGTCAGCGCAGCTACAGATTGTCTTGAGGCCGCCTCTAAGCTGGGTTTTAGGATTCTAGAAGCTTCGAGGCAGATTTTGTGCTCTGTGTCCGCACGCTATGCTAATCTAAGCTAGGACCAATGCTAGGCGCCTTTTCAAGCTCGCCTGAGACTCAACCCTTACACCCGGAATCCATTTGCCTGGAGGTGGAGGCCAAATGGCAGGTGGCTGTGTCCCTGCTGCGACTTGACTTTTTTGCCGAGGTTGTTGGTTGTGTCAGGTCAGCTTTAGTGGTTGGTTCGTTGTTTTTCTTTACGTTGTTTTTCTTTAATCTTTGGCATCAAGAGCTTGAGCGTGGGAGTTGGCTATACTGTAAGGCCCTCGATCGTTTGTAAGTGGTATCCTGTCTTTCGAGATTACTTTGTGGCCGGTGTAGTCGAGTTAGATTACCTTGTGGTCAGTGTAGTCGAGTCCATGACTCATGGTCTCATTGCAGCCAGATGCCCTAAACCATAGAGTCTCCAAGCCTAAACACCGCTTTGGAGTGCTTTGTTTGCACATTTTGGTGTGGAACTGTAGCATTCAAAGCATAAGGGTTCAATCCTCAGCAGGGATGCAGTGGACTTCGGCCGTGGTGATTTCATGTTCTTTTATTGTGGCCAAGCTTTCCAGGAGAGTCCCTATGGAACCCGTATGGATACTATAGAGCCCTTAAGTGGACTCTTACAAGATTTCCAAGGTCCACACGACCTTCCAAACCTCAGAGACATTTTCAGAATAGCTTTGCCGATCTGAGGGTTGAATGTCAGGTTGTGCTTTGTGGGTTACAGGGTGCAGGTTTGTTTTTGTCATGGCGGGCATGATGAGCTGGGACTTGCTTTGTTGGGTGCACTACTGCACCGAAGGTTCGAGAAAAAGTTTTGATGGTCAGAGGAACCTCACACTGTGCCTTATGAACAGGGTGGAGTTGGGGTGTCGCGGGTCTTCCCGAAGGCCCTTAACCATCTAAGCCAGCACCTCCTTGCACTTGATGGCCAAAGTTAAGAGGACAGTTTCGACAGCTGTGGGTCGCAATTTTGGGTGCTTGTAGGATTCAGAATAAAAGCCAGGACGCGAATGATGGATGCAGAGATTTGGCCAGATCAAATCTGTTTCAGCGCAGCAGCTTGGAGACATGAGGCAGTCTGCTTTTGGGGCGTTTCTGAGTTCAACAGCAGAGCACCGTCCGAAAATACAATTGGTTAGCGAGATGTTTAAGCTTCGAGCTAGATCCAGGCTCCCGCTCCCTGTCAAGTTCTCCCTGCCTAGCATCAACCGCGATGTTTTGCATCATTGGCATTTGGAGCCGTTTAGGGGGTCCTGAACAGAAGAGTTCCGCTCTGCCCTGGGCTTGCTCCGGACGGTACCCAGCTCTTGCGCCTGGCAAGGCCACGGCTCCCCGCTCTCGTTTGCAAAACATACAAACACACGCCTAAGTCCTAGGTCGCTAAAAAGCAAAATAAACGTCCTGGCTCAACCGGCGCGGGTCGGTTTCCGAGATGCAAAACGTACTGGTTCAACTAGCTGTTTGGTGCCATGCATCTCGGGCACGAGCTCTGCATTTCGGAAACCCCGCCTTGCATGTCGAACGCCCCAGTCGCCAAAGATGCAGTTCCCGCGACCCATGGGTTGCCTTAAAGTAGGCTGTGCTCAGGTGTAGCTTCTGTTCTCATCATTCTGAAAACTCATGTGTCTCCGCATGAAAAACATGCCAGTCATGTTTCCGTTTTGTGGAGACATGCCTTCATGATTACAGATTTGGGAGAGCTCTCGTCATAACCCCAAGCAGGCTAGTTACTTATTAGTCTAGCCGTAAACGTGACATACTTGCGACGTCTCCCGGTCTGAGCCTTTACGATGCCCTATGTAAACCTTAAACCCTGCACCCCAGGTAGGACAGACCGTGTAGCCGACGAGCAGTTCTCCTCCTGTACTGGTAAAGGGCTCGGAATGTTGTGGTCTCATCCTGCATAGTTGAATTTAGTTTCACCTGGCAGACCTGGAACCATATGCCTCGCCCGGATTGTCCGAGCGTGAGCGCCGAAACCCCAGGTACTTCGTGTTCTTGGTGCGGCTGGGCAGTGGCCGTGGGCTTTCTGGCTTCTTGAAGAGATGACCAGGCGTCGCATGAGCCAACACTCAGAGCCTGAAAAGTTGCAACAGAGATTCGAATGTCAAGCGCCTTAAAGAATTTGGGGGGGCCACCAGGGTGTATATGAGCTGGGCTGGAACGTAATGGTGCTTGACAGGTATAGAACCCCTGCACATTTTCATTATCCTTGATCCAGTAGGAGGAACTGCAATTCAGAGCCTCGGTTTTTTTCAGTTGCATCCCCAAACCTTCAAAACCCTGCAGAACTCTTAGAACGAGTCTACCAAACCCTAAACCATAGACTCCTAGACCCTCCAAAGACACACATTCATATTCCCCAAGCCAAACCAGGCGAGGCCCTAGAATGTCAGAAAGACTCTAGAAAACCCAAGAATGCGGGGCAGCGGGACCTGCCGCTTTGCTCTATGCGCCTTGCAGGTGTCGCACGGCGCCCGACGCGATCACGTGGCTCCTTGGTACTTGGAAAAGTGGGCTTCAATGATTAGCCGCGGGGCTTTGGGGTCGAATATAGCATAACAATCACAAAAGCGCCGCAGGGGATGACTATTGCAAATCAGGCCGGACGTCAATCCAGATGCTCCGTTCCAGCAGTCCTACCGGTCATGGTAATATTGAGGCCTTAACAACTATAGTCGTGTTTTGGGGCATATTATAGTCCAAGAATGATAAGGACCAAGGAATATAAGCTTGCAGCTTAGGGGGCGGAGCTTCCACGGTCAGCTTTCGCAAACATGAAGAGCCCGATGGCAATCAGAGCTGAGTGTAGGGCTCCAGGATTCAAGTTCAAAGTTCAGGGCTTGGGTTGTAGGCCTCTGGCGGTTCCGGCTTCACATTAAAACCTGATGGGTATCACAGTGTCTATGGAACTCAAGTTGACGTGGGCCTCAAGTTTGTGTCTGAGCTCTTGGCTTTGCGCGGCTCGGGTTCAGGATTTGGAGTGTGCGAGCTTGAGAGGCCCTTAGAGTTTAGACGCAACTCCCAAACCCTAGCACCATCACATCGTACAAGGGTATGGGCGGCATGGGGTTGCATGGTTTTTCCATTAAGTAAGATGCCGGCACAAGTCTAAAGCCCCAAGGGCCAAAAACCTCACACAGCCTCAAGCTCTAAAGGATCCTCGTCTTGAAGCTTGAAAATTCAGGGAGCATCAAATACATTCATCTAGCTGACAATGAGATGGATTCGCAATCGTCCATGATCTACATAAGCTGTCTTGATGGGTTGTGGATAGCTACATCGATGTTCCAATTCGCTGAGCTCGCCATTCTGACAGTCTTGACGATTGATAGTGCTGTTAGTCCAAAGGTCACATATTCCCATGCGGAGGGTTTCAGAGAACTGGGAGAGGTCTTTCAATCAATCAATGTCTTGTTTTTTGGGGGCTTATGTTGCGAAGCTGTTCTCCTTGCCTGGAACTGTCACACTTGTGCCGTGCCCAAGAGAGGACTGTAGCAGCAGGTCGGTCAGTGTCCGTATGTCTTCCATTAAGCAGGCCGTCAACTGGCATCTTTCGGGCTTGTAGTGTTTCCATCCACGGCCATTGAAGGAACACAGCCCTCAGCGTCTGCGAGAAAGGCCACTCGGAGCTGAAAGAGTATCGAAAGCTTGGAACAGCGTCCCGTGTTTTTCAGGACTTCTTGCAATAGGTGCTAAGAGCTCAGTTTATTCAGGATTGAGGCGGCACAGGCTTTCCACAGGCCAGCCAAGCCGATGCTCTTGCCCTCATGTCGACTGCCAAAGCATATATGCCGCTAAACAGAAACCGCTTAAAGAGCCGTTGCATTTGTCTTGAGTTCTTCTTTCATATAAGTCTCTCAAGGATTCGGCTTTGCAGGCCCGAAACCCTGCACCACGGAGCACAACCTTGAGGCTGTCATACACCACACCCTAACACGCTAAGCTCAAACACTGCAGCCTAACTCCTCAGCCTTCAACCCCAGGGATCCTATCCTAAACCCTAAACCCTTATAAATCTACAAACCCTAAAACCCCAACCCTAAGCCCCCTACATTTCCTGTTTGGCATTCGCCCACTTCGCTCACAGAGGCTCAGCTTGGCTACAAGCGCTTCAGCTGCTTCTTGGCCCGATTCCGGCGACCTCTAGCCTGCAGCCTTGCATGGATAGGCCACGAAACGGTTCCTGATCGGTCGAATAGCAGAGCCTGAACAAATTCGCAATCCTATGTGCACACGTAGCTGTTTCCAGTAGCAAGGCAGCTGTAGCAATGTTCATTGTATTGAAGACAGCCCCGATCACACATCTATCAGTGACAATAGTGACATGAATCAACATTCATGACCATGATCATGGCACCGGCTTTCGGAATCCCAAGCATACTAAGGCCACGATGCGATGCTACTATATTCCTTGTGGCAACCAAAAAACACCCTTAACCACGCAACCATTAGCACTAGCGCCCAAACCGTTAAACCGGTAAACCAAAACCTTTTCGCCAACCCTACACCCCTGAAGCAGTAAAGCTCCAAATCTAAAACCCGAACCCCAAATCCCGAAATCCCTATAATCTTTTAACCCCAACCCCTTCAAAAATCCTCATCGATCCCTTTAGACTGTGATACATAGCCTGAAGCCCCCAGAATACCATTACAGGAGCCTGTATCGAAGCTTTACAGCGCTGAAAAAGAATTTGTTTTGCAGGAGTTCTGAAGAGGTCGCCTCAAAGGAACCTGTATGTAGCCCCTCCCCGTAATTGAACCTTTAGTAAAGAACCCTTATGAACCTCTTCACTGAAAAGGAACCCATGTCCGAGGCTCCGAAGCGCTGGATCCGCGAGCTTCCAGCAGGGCGCAGTGGGCCGCGGGACTCGGATTTCACAGAGATTCCGTTTTGGGCGAACGAAAAAGTGTTAAGGTTCTTTTGAGGGGCTCGGTGGATGTCCGGAGTCCAGTTATGTAGTTCGACCTCTTCTCAACAAAAAGTCAGTATTGGGGGCCTTGGATGTTTGTGTGTTTGTTCTGTTTCTCTGCTTTCTGTGGTTTCGGGGTAGCTAGATCTACAATCAAAGTAGGTACTCTGAGCTTGTTGGTTCGGGAGTTTTGGGGTATGGGTTGTTGTTGGGGTAGCGGGGTTTGGCGTCTGGAGGGTTGGGGATCTTGAAACGATCTTGAGTTTTGTGGGTTCGGGTCTTGGGTTATGGGTTTAACAATGGCCATTCGGGATACAGCAACTGGTAGAAGTAGGCGCTTTGCGCAGGTTTTGGATTTACGTACTCCATGAGGAATTTAGGATCCATAATTCCAGGTTCATAGCATTACGGTGGGTAGCATTGTTCATCTTCATACAGCCTACCTTCCAAGAACCCCAGAAGATGCTTGATAAAGCCTCATTTACAAGCCCTTACCAGCTATTTTTGCGCATGAAGCCATTTGCACGAGGCCTGTATACCGCACCAACCAACCACGTGCTGGGCTTTCAAGTTTCGGGCCAGGCTTCACCTCTGCCATTGGCGCTTGCAGCAAGGCCGAGCAGTGGCAGAGTGCATTGGACACGCGTCTTGGATCGGCCTGGCTTGTTAGGATGTGCTTGGAGGTTCATGTTGATTCTATAGTATCTGTCCATCCATCTCTCTACCTAGAAACAAGCGCATCATCATGATGATTCCAGCCCACATGCTACAGTTGACTTATCCTGGGCATTTTGTCGTTATGGGTACAGAACGTGGGAAAGTTGGCGCGTAACCACGAGACAACGCTCAGACGAAGCTGTTCAGTGTTCGCAACTCCTCAGACCCTTATCAGGATTTGTTACCGTACCATGGGATCTCCAAGTCAGAAGAGCGGAGGACTCCAAGAATGACAATCCTCTATGCCCCAAACCCAGAAGCAATGGTCCTAGCAAGGCAGGAGGCCCGAAAACAAACAAAGCCTTGAAGCCGAAAGCCTACGTTGCATACCCTCTCGAAGTCCAGTCAGACGTAAATCCGAGTCCACGACCCCAAAGTGTAGGATCTGAAATCCCGTCCTAGGCTTTCGACGCTCTTTTGCAGTGGCGGTGGCGATCGACCTGCGTTGAACGCGGCCATGTCCGGGCACTGGGCCAAGGCTTGCAAGGGTATACCGTTTTAGGGCAGAATGATCCATATTACATACCTCCTTAGGGTTCCTTATAACACAGCATAGCGCTACTATATACCATCTCAGTTTTTGTTACTTACGGCTTTCCCTGGGAGGGTCTTTCGGGATTCGATGAAGGAGAAGGTTCTTTCATGGCTCTTGGGTTTCGGGGCTTCCAGGCTTAGGATTTCAGGATCTTCTGCTTCCCAGGATCTTCTGCTTCTGGGGGGGTTTTCGGGTTCAGGACCTCAGAATCACACATCCGAACCTGTTTTGAGTTTCGCTAGGGAGGTCATTTCTGGCGGGGCCTTTGGGTTGTTCGTTGTTTTGGACTTTAGGGCTTCGGGGTCCAAAGCGCCCTTGGTCTACTGATAGACAGCCGTTTAAATTTGCATCGGAGGAAGACTGGATGTGTTCAAGCATTTCAGCGGCACAGGGTTGCCCCAGACTTCGCTGAGCGCCAATCTGTTGGGAATTAAACCGTAACTACCGCTTCAGGAATCTTCAACATCTCGGCAGCTGAGGCTTGCGTCCTACTCTCTCCCTCAGAACAGCTGGCGCCCAATGAGGTGGCTTCCGTCGTGGGGGCATGAGTGACTCCAGCGTTGTATGTACTGGTTTTGAATATAGTTGCAATGGTACAAAGCTAAGCTGAATGGGGTTCACCTGAAGATGAGTGAGTTCTATTCAGACCCGTGTGTGGCTGCCAGAGGTTGCACGTACCTTCGGCAGAGATCTAATCGCAGTATTAGCGTCGCGGGGTATAAGCCTGTAAAAGTAGGGTGCATCACGAAGCAAAGGCAGCGAGAGAGAGAGAGAGAGAGAGATCGGGTTGCAGGGAGCCTTAAAGGGCCTGCCAGCACTATCTCCAGGCGATCCTCCGAAGTGTTGGACTCAAACTCAAAGCACTGAGTGGCTCCTGCTTGATCATGAACACGTGTAGTACATGTCCACTGAAAAATTAAGCCTTCAGCTTCAGCCCTATACTCTGGAAGCTTTCAAACCCTCCAACTTGACGAATTCAGAGACACTCAAGGAGGTGAAGGGCGACCTCGAACCGGAGTCTTGCGTTCAGGGTTCCGGGTTTCTCGATAGAGGACACGAAACCAGGCAGGGTATGACTCCCGCCAAAACGAAAAAAAAAGCCTTATGAGGTGTCCTTCGGTGCCGCATTGCGCTGTTTGGATACATGGCCTAGGGCAACAGCTCTGCTGCAGGCACGCTCCATAGCGGTTCTGCTTCTGAGAGGTTGCACAGGGACTAATCATACTGTAGAGGTGGTAAATCATTCGTAATGTTGTTGCCTTACACTCCCGTTGCAATTCAACTGCAAAACCCTGCCATCTACTAATTTTCAGGGCCCCTGACGTCGGAACTCAACCAATCACGACGGAGATCGAAGCTTCTGAGGCTCCGACCTCCGTTCCAAGGGGGGGGAACACGGGTGGCTTCGAAGCCCGGGGTTTCGCATCAGGGCTTCAGCTCTAACCATAAACCCTCAACCCAGACCCAAGGTTTAGGGTTTGGGTTTGCATAGACTCCCAAGCACATGCGAGAGGGAAAAAACCCAAACCTTAACTTTGGTTTGCTGAAGACTTGGAGTCTTGAGGATTTAGGAGTTAGGGGCTTGACTAGTGCCCATGCAGGGCGGTGACTAAGCCCATCCAGAAGGTCGACACCTGAACCCGGAACAGGCTTTGGTCCAATCCATCAAGCCGAACACTCCAGATACTAGGGCTTCTGCGTTCCAAGCTCCGTTGAAGGTAATGCCCTCCAGGCGCTGCTTTGTAAATGAGTCGCTCGTCACGAAAAAAAGCCGGGCAGGGAAGGAGGTTGAATTCAGAAATCCTCTGGCACGATATGGAATCATTGGCAGCACTGCTCCCGTAAAAAAAATTCATACTCATTCCATGTAGTCCAGTGTTTGGGTGTCGTACTGATGGCATGTGCGCGCAAGAAGCCCGTAGAAATGGCAGGGGGCTGATACGAATCTGAAGAGCGGTTTGTGCCTTTGTTGTGCGAAATTGTGGAAGCCCCGCCCCCGTACAGAGGAGCATGAAACAAAAGGGAAGGAGATGAGGCAATCGTCGTGAAGACCCTGAATCTCTAGAAGACAGCTAGCCGCCCAAATTAAAGCCCTTGTTGCCAGCCCCAAAACCGGTAATTATGTAAACAAGCCTTCAACGCCAAGATTCCATATCCCTACAGCCCTACTTAAGCTCCGCAAGATCTCAGGATTTGCTTTGGCTCGGCGATCTCTGCTTGCGAAGACTCAAGGGGATGGGCCGCCAGCATCCAGCTGCCACCGGGATTTTCAAAAGATATTCAGAGTTTTGCCAGCTTTCTATCCATAAACTGAGGCTTTTGAGCAGTGTTCTCTGGTGGGCCCACGGTTCTTGACTGTTCACGGTTTGGGCTTGGGACCCCTGGGTGTGTACGGGTCTTGTAGTTGAGATGCAAGGACAATAGCAGAACAATAGCAGAACGTTTGGGCAAAATGGTTCCCAACAATATTAGATGATTAGATTTAGCGAAAGCGACGATTGGTTGGGGGTGTTGTGTTCCTTCAGCCAGATCGACAGCGGCGAAATACCGAGGAGTACTATTCCTTGGGCTCCTTTTACAACTGTACTATCCTCTACTCCAAAACCTTTTTTGAGGTTCGGATTACAGTTTGGGGTTTAGGGCTCAGGGTTTGAAGGCTGATATTAGCAGCAATCGGTTCGGAACATGCTCGACCCAAAACCTCTCCTACCCTCAACCATAAACCCTACCTGTAGCCGAAAAGACCTACGTTTTTGAGGAACTCTATATAGAAACCATAATAAGGAACCCTAAGCAGGTCGGTCTTTCCGGCTACAGGTAGACCCCAAGATCTCGTACAATTAGGATCAACACCTGCCAGCTAGAACCCTGACTAGTCATGTATCATTTTTGGAACAACCCTAAACCCTAAACCCTAAACCCAAGCCAGCCCGCAGCAAGTGCTCCAGCCCTCAAGCCGCTAAGGTGCCAGATCTTTAGGGCTAAATGTCGCGGCTGGAGTTTGATGTTCAGTCTCGAATCATGAAGGTCCCCATGCTGTTAAGCATAAAACAATCTCAAGACACATAGTTTTTAGACACACAAGACTCCCAATATCGATTGCAGGAACAGTTGTAACATCATATGTAGGAGTATTCATTTTATTGCTTTCCTTTGCCGAGATTTTGGGATCTGAGGAGCCCCGAAATGGAGTCAAAGGCCCAAACGCCCAAATGACTGGCAGCAATGGCCTACAAACACTCTAGCCCCAATCGAATCACTTCTGCCGCGCTAGCCCTTCAATCAAAGTTATAGCGGAATGGAACTTCATCCTATGTCAGTGATCCCTCTGAGCTTGAAGTTTTGATGCTCAATGAGGGGACAATAGCCATTATACGGTTGATGATATAAATCCTGCATTACCTTAAGAATCCTAAACTATGAGAATAATGGTATATTCCTTATTATGGGTAATGCAGGATTTATATCATCAACAGTAGTAGCGACAGCATCCGCAGCTCCCCGAGTGTGGAGCTCAGGATCGAAACAATGCCGGAGAGGAAGTTGGTCGCAAATGCATGGGCCTTGGACACGCAACGGAAGCCTTGGGGTCCGGCTTAGGGGCTTGTTCCAGGGTTTGGGGGATTGGGGTTTTGGGGTTTTGGGTTAAGGGTTAACTCTAAAGCTGGAGGGTTCCGGCCATAATTGCGGGGGCTTCATTCGGAGTTGCTCGAATGTTTCCAGTTGGCTTGGGGTCTGTCCTTTTGGCATGCAGGCGAGGTTGCGGACAAGCCACTCGGGCGACGACAAATGATCGAAATTCTGCAAATCTGGTGAATCTGGTGATTGCTTTTGTTTCGTGTTGAGGCTGCTTGGTGGGTAGAAACACAAACACCACTAGCATGCCTCCTTCCTTTGAGGACAGCTACACAAGCGACTGTTACCAAGCAGACGTCAAGCAGACACATACTCTACTACCTCACCGTATCCTTTAGTCAAGGTTTCGGGCGGCATTCCCGTTCTAATGCAGGGAACAATGCACCCCAAGTGAGGGATCCTTGAGTTCAGCCCTGCGTGGTGGTCGGAGGGAAAGACGCAAAACTGCAACAAGATGGCTTTGGGGCTTAAGGTCTCAAGGTTTAGGGTTTGGGTCCAGGGGTTGGGATCCGGAATTTGCGACGGCTATGCCAACACCTGTGCCATGCTGCTTATCATTGCTCCTGTTCGGCAACGACATGTCACGCTTGTCATGTAGCCGATAGCAACGATGATAAGGGCTGCATGTGTGAAATACGATACGCATGAAGATGATGCTGATGCTAAGATTCAGAACAGGGTGATAGTTTCCTATATGGCCTCGTTTCTTGAGGAGGTTTGCTTCAATGCGGCGATCGGAGCTTGCGGTGGCGCAGGGGAGATCGAGCTGCTCAGCACTCCTCGGGACGAGGGACTTCAAACAGTTGTGCATAATGTGGGCCTAGCAATACTTGCCAATATTATCTGATATAATGGTTCCTTAACTCAGCATAATGTACGGTAAAAGCCTGTTCTAATGATTGATGACGGCCCTTGTATTACCGATACACGTTTGACGTCTTGTGGAACTGTATTGGCCATGGTTGTCTTCTGGCAGAATCAGTTTCGCATGTAACCTTGAGGAAATGCAATACCCTGTTGGTTTCAATTGCTGTCTGTTGATGGGGTTCGCTTGAATCTTCATCAAGAGAATTTCTGCAAAGCTCTGTATGGATACCTCCTATGAGACTACAACCTTTGGAATTCTGTCGATCCTTCTCGTCCATACCCGTTCCTCCAAGATTGCTTAGCCCGGCAACTTTTTACTCGGAAATTTGGTGCGAATCCCGACCAACACCAAACCACACCACCAGAAGCGCCTGGCGGATCTTACAACAGCCATGAAATGCCGGTGAACTTGTGGCAGTTTCTCATCTCAGGGCTGCTATCGACCTCCTCGACGCCCTCCGCCACCGACGTTGTGCAGGGCCCACAAGCCTTCCGCCATTGAAGGGATCTGGGGCGACTTTTCCATTTAGTATTTAGGACGTGCAGATTAGCCTTAAGCCCGAGGTTTCCCTCAACCCTGCTGATTTAACAATTTCGGATGTTGGACTTCAAGTCCCTCACCGTTGAACTCTGCTTGGAAGGGGGCTTCATGATGCTTTGGCTCTTTGCAAGGCAGCGCCGATATCTACACGGGGGAACTGACTCATTTCTGGTGCATCTAAGTAGTACTGCATGCAGTTCTGATTCCTCTTCGGGCGGAAGAACCACGTCTTTCGCCATCCGTGTCTTTGCCCGAATCTCACCGCCAATTTTTCGGTTTCGAACCTGTAGCAGGCAAACATCAGAAGCTTGCGTGCCCAAAAACCATCTGCTTTGCGGTGTTCGGGTGTCCGCGTCTCTACAGTGTGGCAGGCAGGAAAAGTAGGGACTGCTTGGCCTGCGGCTACAAGGAGGATGCAAGCTTGACAGGCATCCAACGTTTCAAAATAAGATCTAAGGCTGCAGGCTTCGCTAACCTGCAGATAAGTACTATTACGCAGACTAGCATATACTTCAGCATCCTGTTTTGCGTAAAGGTGCAATTCATCAACAGAACAGATACACTCAGGGAACGATATAAAAAGAAACAAGACATGCTTGCCATTCCCTGCGTATTGGAGTCATAAGTCGTTGAGGCTTTGCAACTGCCATCACCGCCTGCGCTCGCCGGGGGCAGTGGCAGAGAGGTCCGGGGTAGGATCAGAGTTGCAGGGGCAGGACGAACTACCCTTGGGGTCGAAGTACCCTAACTGTACTGTAAAGAGTTTCCACGCAGCAAAAGCCACTCAAAGCACAGTAATTATATTCTTAGGGGTACTTTTTTTAATTTTTGGTTATTTTAATCCCTAAGCAACAGCCAAATTATAATTTTTGCTAGGGTTACTAAGTTCAGTATAGTGTTTGCGACCTGAAACCCTCCTACCTACGAAATGTGAACGGCAGGGTTTATAGGGTAAAGCAGGGCTTCGAGTTCAGAGTGTCCAGCCAAGTGCGAACTTGGGTAAGGAGCTGAGCAGCCCAACTTGTTATGTGAGTCACGGTGGCGGGAATTTGGATTCAGTTTCTGGGCGGGTAGTCTGTCGGTGGAAAAACACCAATGTAGGAGCTTGAGCCTTGAGCCATTGGCAAAGCATTCACCTCGCACCCCGTTTGCTTGTGCCGGGTTCGCACACGAAATGCTTTGAAGAACATTGCTGAACCGTGCGGAATATGTACGATCTGTGCGTTTCCAGGAAAGCGCTTTTTAATTTTCTTACCTACAGAAGCCTGCCTGCAGCACACTTTGCAGCACCGGGAGAGGTTTCCTGCTTCTTGCAGAGATGGCCGAGAACAAGATCCAGCCAGACGAGACCTCGCCGCACGGGGGAGAGTTGCTTCGGGGCTTGAACGACCGTCCCATCATCCTACTTCCTATCCTTGAAGTAACTAGATGACAACCCAAATGCACGCCCTGTTTTCGGTTAGGCCAGCTCACGACATGCTGGGCTCGCATCACCAAGGGCTTAAAACCTAGCATTTTTCCTGTCTCAGATTCGATGTAAGGTTTGTGCCACAGCCTACAAGTCCAGTTACGTATCTGGTATAGGTGGTCTGGTTATACGGCTACTCTGCTACCATGTGGCTCATGTACGGTTTAAGGAACAGTATCCCATTATATAGATGACGAAGCCAAGCTCCTAGGCCTCAACTCTCTCTAAACCCTCAACCCTAAGCCACAGCAGCAACCTTTAAATGACTTGAGGAGTTCTGCTACGGTGCCGCCATGGCCGCTTGCGAACGCAGCCACCAATGGCAGTGCTTTGGCGAACGAGGGTATGGTATGGAGCTGCTCTGAGAAGAGGTAAAAGGACAGTACCGCTGTCATGTGTACAGGAAGTTCTCTAAATTGAGGTCCAGTTTAAGACCTTTTTTGCAAGGGTGCCGTACTAATAGGAAACCTAACAAGGGACCTTGATTTAGCGAACTGTCCCTTTGACGGTCTCCTATGGTTCCTGGGAGTGCACTAAGCCTCTGCCTTTTGAGAGGGTGCTGGAGCAGCACTTCATCTTCAGCCCTAGGCCGTTTGGATGAAGCCCTCAAAATGCCAGTCCCTGCATATCTGTCGGGCGATATATGTCCTGACAAGAATATGGTGGAGACGCCATGAAAGACCCAAAGCACGAGAAGCTGGACCCTACATACCCGAAGCCTGAAAAGCTCTCAGCCGTGCATCCCCTTGAATAGGGTGTAGGAGCGTTGCTGTTTTGGGATTCGGGTGTGGGTCGGCGCGAGTGATATATGTTTGTTTCCTGTTGTTGTATCATTCCTTTGTGCGAAATAGGACCCGACAACGTGCCTGCTTTGCACCTGCATCCTGCAGCCCACAACCACTCGCAGACGCGAGGTGGGCTGTACACCTGCTGGCTACCATGGAAGATGCCGAGGCGCTTCGATTTTGTTGTACATTTTTTGAACACAGTATTGCAACATGCAATGTTATTCCGTTTGTGAAAAAGCCAAGCCTGCAAGGCGATTCCACCGTGAGTGCCGAAAGCGGTTCCACAGTCGGCGTAAACCTAAGCCCAGTTTCAGCTACCGGAGTAGCGTGATTCGCTTGCCGAGCCTTCTAGCTAGCTGCATGCTTTCAGCAAGGTAGATAGGCTAGGTAAGCGCTTGAAGCGATATTACCGCACAACGAGAAGGGCTGCCGAAGAGATAACAAGAGACAAGGGCCTTAAACTCTAAACTTAAACCCTTCACGCTGACACGCGGGGAGGAAGAAAGCACCTAAAATCCTAAGCCCTAAACGGTGTGCTCGCGTGCATGCGCCTAGTTGCTGAGCTTTTTGATTGTACGGGGGACTGGGTTGCCTTCGAACTCACGCCGTAGTTTTCTTGAGTGTTCCCTGCAGCGTCACCCCGTCAGCTAAGCAAGCTGGAAAAACCTTCAGCATGATCTGAAAGGACTACCCCGCTCTGCTGTTGCTGCAACTCAAAGCAGCATTCCTGTAGAGTCCCTGCGGAAAGTCCGGGCCCGTGCAGCAGCGTAGCATAAGTCTTTTGGTAGTCTACGAAATCGGGCCAGTAGCTAGGTTTGGTATAGGCGTCTTTATAGATAGACATGATATTCCCCTTCAGTCCCTCTTACAAATCCAAGAGACGGTCGCGGTAGGGTTGAGAGGATCTCCATTAATGATAGGGCATCCGGGGCCAACGGCTTAGGGTTTAGGGGTTTAGGGCTTCGGGTTTAATGTTTAGGGTGGGTTTGCGCTAGATTTGGGGATTTTTGGTTTGTCCTGGTGCCAATCCTTCCTTTCGGTTGGGTGCCGTATGTCAAGAGATTCGCCTGCAGAATCCGAAATCGAATAATTCGAGCACTTCCAATTAATAGCTTCGGGGCAAGGCGTCCCGAAGCTAACGCATGACATAAGCCCTTTCTTCCAAGCAGGGATGTTGCGAGAGGTTTGGATTCTCTATGATGTTGTCTGTTCGTGATCCATCCTTCTGAAAACTCCCGAAAGCGTTGCTTTCACTTTCCCAGGCCCGAACCCAAAACGACAAACCCAGATAAACCCAGGAACCTTCAAATGTCAATCGCAAACCTAAACCCTAAGCCCGAAACCCTAAAATCGCCGAAGGTCCCAGCCTCCCAGATCTGCTTCAACTCTGCGATCAGCGCTTGCGAGTGCTTTGCCTCAGAGAGGTATATGCGAGTTTCTAAAAATTCTGGGTACCTTATATTGGGGTCCTTCTATATTAGCGTCCCCTAATTAGGGTCCCCTATTTTGGGAAACTCCCATATACTAGGATATTCAGAAGCTCAGGTCCTGAGTAGTCCCATTTTGTATTCCTTGGAGTTCGTGACGATAAATACAGAAAAAGCCTTGAAGCCCTGTTCTTCTTTTTCAAGTCTTATATCACCCTAGACACCAAAAAGAAAGATGGGTCCTGATGATAAGGAACCGCAAATAGTACACCCTTAACTGTCTGAAAGCTCCAACGCTAGGCAGCTGCGCAGGAAATTCCAAAATGCAAGGCTTGCACAAGACCTGAGGCGAGAATTTAGAAGCTGTCCTGCTGCTGAAGCTTCAATCGTGCATTGGATGATGCGCAATCAATGTCCCCCATGTGTTTGCCTCGAGCCTCACAGATCGCCGTGCAGCTTAATCGATCTGGGAGGGAAACGCCGCGGACGACAGGAAGGCTCTGATCCATGCCCAAGGGTTTGAGGAAGCAGGCGGTACAGGCGGCTTGGGACGGCTGCAGAGTCTTGGTGAAGCAGCACATGCCCAAGGAGAAGCCTGCGCAGCAACACCAAGACTGACGATGCCATCATACGAGACACGGAAAGTGTCAGAAAGCGGAGTGCTTCCTTACATCCTGCGGCTGAACCCGCGGCCTCATAAACCCCTAAACTCCTAAATCCCAAACCCCCACACCCTACAATCCTGAAGCCCTAGACCCTACCCTACAGTCGCTCGGCCGTAGGCGTAAACACCTAGTGACATGTCCGGCACTTGGTCCTGTTTATGGTTACGCTGTTCACGGCGCCACAGATCGAGGTGTATCGATGAGACACAGAATGGCAGCTGTGAGAGTTTTGAACCCAGAGCGTACTCCGAAGCCCTCGGGCGGTCCTCTGGGCTTAAGAAAACTTAGTATATGTCGTCTTATAAACTTCATGTAGACTCCCTGTTGTATGGACTATGCTTCATCTCCTGAGTTGTGGCTTTGAGGAGCCTGCCTGCCATGCCCAGGAAGCTGCGGAAGTGGGAGATTGCCATCCATCTCCTCGCAAGCATGGCGGCCTGGTCACATCAGAAAGGTTTAGGGTAGGGTCGCGGATTTATATGGGGTTTCCGCACCGGACATAGCCATCCTTTTCATCCTGTTAACCGCATTGTTCGTGTAGATTAACATATCCACTTGAGACGGCAATTTACGGCAATCCCAACCAACCTGTGTCCCCCCGCCATCCAAACTGACAGAAAATCCATCGAAATTGACTATAGAACCCGGTGCAGCAGTTGCAGAGTATCCAGGGCCAAAAGAACCCTAAAACACTAAAACACCTGAATCCCAGCCCCTACGGCGCCTGGCTGCTGACGCCTTCGCCACGAACGCTGCTCTGAGCTCATGTGGTGCCAGCAGCCGCTGGGAGGAGGCTGGGGTGTTTATAAAGGGTTTAAAGCTTTTAGGGCTTTCAAGGTTCAGGGTTTAGGGCTTATCGGGGTTTGCGGATTATGGGATTACAGGGTTTATAGGTTTTTTCCTCGGGGTAGGGCTTATCGGATTTAGGGATGTGGGCTTAGGGTTTAGGGAGGGTTCGGGCTAAAGGGACCAGAGGATTAGGGGCTGGGACCTCTGGGTCTGGGTTCCCTTCAAGGCTCCTTAAGGGGTTTATAGATGTTTATAAGGTCTAGGGAGGGTTATTTTTGTAAGATACTCAAATAAGTCAGAGGATATTCTTACTTACTGCGCAGACCGACCTCTTTGCTGGGGACCAGGGTGTTTACCCTAAGCCTTAAACCTGCAACTGAAGCATCTGTGCCTGCAGGCGCTCAGTCTGTTCGCTGCCCACGGAAGCCCCGACACGGTGGCGTGCAATGCGCTCCTCACGGCGTTCCAGCACCTTGGAAACAATAGAACCCGAGACAGCAGAGCGAATCCCTGATACAATGGACCCTGTATGTTCAGCCAACCCTAATCTTGTAAATTTAAAAATCACCAACGGTAAGTTGAGGGCTTTAGTTGGCTTTTGCATTGAATCCTTTGCTCGAACTCAACATCCAGGGGTAGCGGGGAAAACCGAAGTCTGCTGGATCCCTCGTGTTGAATGATCTTTCAGTGAGATGCTTCCACTGCCAGCCACTCTTCCCTTCACAGCTCCATGCCTGGCTGGGCTGTCCAGATTTGCCTGTTGGCATGCTTGTGTGGAAGGGATCCCCCCAGCAATGCCTGGACGCATGTTTCGCTGCCTGTAAGAGTTGCTCCCATGGTTCCTTGAAGAGCTCCTTCATCAATACTAGAGAAGGCTTCCCTCAAGCTTTCCTTCAGTAGTACTGGAAGACTGCTTCGCATGGGCTCGGGCTCTGAGCTGCAGGTGAGAGTGGCATGCTCTCACCCAAAGCTTAAACCTCATACCCTAAGCCTGACAAGTGTTGTTGCATCTGCGTGAAGAGCCGGAAACAGAAAACGGTGCAGCACGAAGCCTGCTTTGTTCCTGAGCATCCGGAACCTTAAGATTCGAACTTGGTTGCAGCAAGCTGGAATCGGCGTGGAGGTTTGGAGTTCACTACTCTGGGTGCACATCGTCACACCAAGGCTTTAAGGCGAAATTTTGGGGGGTTCCTGTCCTAAGCCGGCAACATGGATCAAGGACTGCCTCTCAGTGGCAGCAGGCTCTGGAGTTCATGGAGCATCTCCACCAAGGATTGCCTCAACTCACGCACAGGGTATTGAAGGGAGTCTCTGGAATGACCTGGCATCCGGCTAGCAGGGCCCTGGTCCTTATTCAAGAACCATGCATGGGTTTATGAGGGCCTGGCAGCGGCTTTGGCTTGGGATTTAGGCTCATGGCATTAGGTTGCTCTGTCGGTGCTGGACTTGATGCAATCAGGCTGCATCTGTAACGTCATTGCTGCGAGCTGAGTCAGCTCAAACATGCACCAGTTGGAAACCCATTGAAGACGGTTACACGAATGAAGCTTTTAATTTTAATTATGTGCACGCTACAGTGGTGCTACAGGTATGATTCCAAAACGTGGCTATCAATATCCCTCCACATACTACAATCTTCGGCCCTAGTTCCAACGGTGCAGGGAGCGGAATCCAGCCAGACATGATCTCGTATGCAGCAGCTGGGATGCAATAGGTGTGTCCGTGGAGGGCTTACTAATTGTCTGCGGCGTAAAAACGTCAACGTATGATTGTGGTTGGTTTTAGACGACACCAGCAGGATTTCATTTGCGGCGGTGAGGGTGTGTAACACTCTAACAGGGCATGTCGAGGCGAGTTTAGGTGCTACGGCAGTGTGCCCCAACTCCAACAGAAACCAACGCGAAGCACTTGTTCCAGCTATTTAGGTGCCATGGTACCTATGCAGATCACGACCCCAACCCCGTTTCAAGTATTGAGGCCGACGAACAGTGACTATCCGAACTGTTTTTTTGGTAGTATCACAGTCGATTATTCTCCACAGCGCCAGGCCCCGAGTGTACTTTCGTAATAGCACCTTAGTACTTAACACGCCAAAACCCCAAACTCTATACATTCCTTTGAGTCATTATCCCTATAAGCCTTAACGTCCTAAAGCCTCAAACCGATAGCCTGTAATCCCTGAATCCTAATTCCCTGAATGCTAAACCCTAAACCACAAAGGCTCAAAACTCCTCTTCCCTAAAACCGAGGCCTACAACCCCTAAGAACAGGCTTTTGGACCCTAAGCTCCGAACCTGGGAAGCCGGGGATAGACTGACAAGGTGCCCCACGACAATGAACCGAGGCCTGCAACCCGTAACAACAGTCTTTTAAAACCCTAAGCTCCGAACCTGGGAAGCCGAGGCTTGCATTGCAGCCGTTGCGCCTCGGTGGCCTCATGCTCGGACCTCGGCCGTGGAGTTCGTCAACTTTCCGAATGTACGATGGTTGCCTTAACGGTTCCCTCAGGTTCCCAGTTACCTGAATAGTAAGCAGGTTACCTAACACTAATGGAATACATACCTCAGTAGCCTACTATTTAGGTAACAACCGGAGCCCTACACATAGGGGTTATTATGGGCGGGCTCTCGTCATTTGAGCAAGGTGTTGGAGTCCTTTGTTGTGTAATGATATAACCATTGTAAGGGGATGTTATGCAGACCCCCAGTGTAGGTTATGCTAGCTACTCATTTCTATGGTTAGGTGGTGCGGGGAATCCAGGTAGCCAGAAGAAAGAATTATGACGGAGGGTCAAAATCATCAACAATATTATGGGCTCGGTCACACATTCCAAATATTGGGCACCTCCCATTGAAATCTGCAATGCGAATCCAGAACCGTGTTCACCTATCATCACCATCGCTGTCACTCATCTGAGCAATGCCATCGAAGCATCATGGCCCCAGCTGCGAAGCATTGGAAGCCCGGGACCGGGAAGCTCCAGTGACGAGGCCACGCACTTGCTCGCGGACCTCCGAAACGGCAGTCTTCTGGAGGTTACACCGGCCTTGGCGACCGCCGCTGCCTGGTTCGGGTTTGATGGAACCAGTGATAGGAGTGGTGCTCCTGAATTCCTGCATTAGTACTGGTACGATCCATGATAGTGGTGGTGACAACAACAGCAATGACAGCAGGATGGAGGCTTGAATGAAGCTTCCAGAGGTTGCTCCTTTACTGGTGGTCGGGGAGCAGTTTGTGCAGCTGGCAGAGGACCCGGAGCGCCTAATATAGGGGCCGCAATAATTATCAATACTATTTTGGGGGTTCCTTATTATAGTTATACTATAATGGGCCCCAAAACCCTATTCTAATTATAAGGCCCTTATATTAAGATGCCACAAGCGACTACTCGCGGATCCCGGATGATTGGAGTTGGAAAGCGTTGCTTGATCCTCACTGAATCCTTACCTCTCATAAAGAGCCCCTGCCAAGGGCAGAAGCCCATGCAGGAGTTGGACGACTGCGCTGGCTGGGTCAAGGTGCTACGGCCTTGAGAGTGCGAAGTTCGCCGGTTCGTAGTTTAGGTGCAGACCCAACGCCCCGAAAGCACTACTGCCAGATGTACTTACCAAGTTGCTTCACACTTCGGGTGGGGATTCTGGGATAGGCAGGGGATTGAAAAGGCACTTGCGACAATCTGGCCAGTATGCCCAAGTTGAGAGCAAGAGCACTTGCGACAGGTTGCTGACACTGGTTCACACACCCTCCGACTAGGACTAAACACTTGGACATCGCTTCTGGCGCCTGATCTTTCCTCGGCTGTGTACACTGGCTTCCGACAGCTATCGGCAACGCGCACGTAGAAGCTAAACGTCCTCTCACTCTTGGGCAAACTGTCCTGCGAATTCTTGTCCCAATCGCGAATGATGGAGTGGAGCTCACGTGTGTCACAGTCGTTTCGTGGTGGTTGCATTTACCATGTCCGTTTACTTCAGTGTCCTTTCAAGGTCCAGCCGAAAGCCCCTGAACATCCCAACTTGTGCTCCGGGGTGTCGGGTCGCTTTAGTCTTAGTTTTCGCAGCCTCGCACTGCATGCTCAAAGTCAGCGTGCCGCTCCCTGAGCGAGCCTGAGCCGAAGCTTCAAAAGGCGTGCCTTTGCAATCCTTTGCACATATTCAGTCGTAGTTAGCGGTGCTATACTAGTACCCGTATGAAGTAGCGGCAGTGCTACAGCTCGTGCTAGCTTTAATGCGAGTGCAGATGCTGGTGCTGGTAGTAGGCTGATGATACTATCAACAGAAGTCGGAACAGTATATAGCAGTGGCAGTGATAGTAGTTGTCGTGGTCCTCGTAGTCGTAGTCGTAGTCGTAGTCGTAGTCGTAGTCGTAGTCGTAGTAGTAGTAGTAGTAGTAGTAGTAGTAGTAGTAGTAGTCGTCGTCGTCGTCGTCGTCGTCGTCGTCACAAGAATGCACACCAATAGTACCATCAAATCAGACTTCCAAACTTTCTCAACCTTGAACCCTTGGGATCTTTCCGGTTGAACCATTCTTTCATTCTCATCGGGATCGTGGGATTTGGCTCGAAACCTGCGGTTGATCATCAAGACTCGCAGCGGTCAGTGAAGCGAAAGCAAGTTTGAACATGCATGGGCTTCGGGGAGGGATTGTAGAATCTGTGGAACCTTGGCAGTGGGAGCTCAGCCCGCAGATTGAGAGCTTTGCCTGCGACAGGAAGCCTGGGAGTGAGATGACAAGAGGTTTCACCAGTTCACTTCCAGCAGGAGTTTACGTGGGAGTGTCAGCTCGTCGCGTTTTCGTTGACATTGTCACTCCCATGCATAGAAAGAAGCAGCATGATGCGATGGAAAAACTACGTTTTCTCATGAGCCGTGATTCCCTGAAGAGAATGAGAGGGCTGCCTGAAAAATCGTCAGAAACATCAGAATGGACAATAGAGAGCCGCAGCGCAAGAATACCCACGTGCCGCTTCCGGAGCCGCTGTCATCAAGCTGAGGGATTGAGATATTCTTGGCTCAGGCTCTGGAGGCTAGGGCTGGGTTTTGGAAAGTTGCCGACCTTGGGGTTTCGCATTGTCTGTTGTAAGGTTCAGTGTGGTTTGGTGTGGGTAGAATACCAGTTCGGAAATGCATGCGCCAAGTGTCGGCGCAGTGTGCCATGTACCAACAAACCTTTCGTTTCATAATATCGTTCGAACCCATGACTCCATGACTGAATCTTGGTTTAGGTGAGGTAGGTTTAAGGGTTGCTGAGGGTTTTGGATTTGGTTCGAAAGGGGTCACGGAGTCTTGATGCAATGGGTTTTCTGCCTAAAACAATTCCTGGCAAGGGAGGCCTAGCTCGGGGTTTGTTGTGAAAGGGGACAGGCTGGGCATGCAGCGATGGATTCGCTCCCCGAGTATTCACGCGCCGCAGTGCCGCAGTGGCGGATTCGCCCCCTGGCACGCAGGATTGATGCCTTGGAAGTGCTACATTTGGGGTTGGACCTGGGGCTGCAAGGGTTTAGGGAGAAACGGAAACATCATCATGATGTGTTTGTCACGTTTTCGTTGTAGTACAGTTACTACAGGTAACAACATTTATGATGATGATAGTTAAGAGCAGTAGCAATAGCAGTGAAAGATGCCAACATGCTGTTGGATGCCTCCACGGTCTCTAACCCGTGTTCTCCCGATGTTTGGACGATGGCTTCTGAGTTCAACCGTCGAGAGTCTTTAGCAGGACTGGCTTACCTAGACTCCACATAGGTATCGAGCTGCATGGTTCTACTCAGCACTGTCCTCAACCCTCAGCTAGGTCGTACAGACTCCGGGCCATTAGTGCTAAACAATCATTTCCTCAAATTGACTACGACTACTACCACTACCACTGCGCTCCTCCTCCTCCTCCTCCTCCTCCTCCCAGATATAGCTTCCCGTTTCTGCAGATCAGAAAAATGCGAAGTTGAAACGGAGCCGCGAAAACTGATCCCAAGCTTCTCTGACCGTTTGGTGGGGCTATGTTGCCTGCAACTTGCGGGATTCTCGGTCGTTACAAAGCATGTAAAGCTCGGGGTCCGAAGACTCGGTGGACAAACGCGGCCTGTTGCATCATCGCTAGATATCTCAGTGCCGAAAACTTAACTAGTTGCACAGACTCGCTCAAAGATCCTGTCAAAAAAACCGCTCAATCTACCAGAAAAGCAGGTCGACAGAACGACTGGTGGGATGCAAGCCTGCTTCTCAGCAATGTCGACCATTAGGACAAGCACTTGCTTGGCACGGTATTTGCACATGTCCATGGGTTACAGCACCAGCAAGAGAAAACATCTGAGAGCCACGACGGCTGATGGCCTGAGACCTTAGCGTGCAGGGGCGGGATGACGGCCGCCGTGCCCTGCTCCAGCCCTTGGCAGAGCCAGGGTTGGGAGAAGCCCTCCACAACCGACAACCAATCTTTATCATGGGTTCCGTGTAGTTTCCATGCAGGGCTCCAAAGGCAGCACTCCCCCCCCCCGCACTAGACTTCAAGTCACCGCAAATACCATTTAAATGGAGGCAATAAGGTCCTTCATAAAGATACAAGGGGAAGGCGTAGTAAAGAGGATTCCTTGCCCGTGGTTAGCAGGAATGGATCCTCATAGTAATCCCCTATATCACCCCGGTATACTAATTTCATGTAGTTTCCACTTTCACCGGCCTGAACCATCCGACGTTGTTCCTATCTGGGTTCCATACTTTGACCCTCCTCCTGCCCCGTGTGCGGGTCTGTGTACCCACTGCGAGTGGCCACATATCTCCAATAAGGGGGCCAGGCCACCTCAAACACCATGGCGAACAGTAAGAAACATGTGAGGGACTGCATTGGATCGCTCAGAAAGGATGCCCACTCGAGTTGCTCGCTGTTAATTAGTGCTTCGCAATCGTGTTTGCGTGCGCCCGTTACTTTTTTGCGGGAAGGAGAAGCTGGGCTCCGTTTCCCGGCTGATGCATCTCTACGGAGGCCCATACCCCTCAATTGCGCCATACTCGTACGTTTGCCAGTTCCAAAATCAGCAGCTCGCATGCAAAGTTGACGACTGCGTCGAGGCGTAGCCATTCGGGCTGAAGACGTCCTTCGGGAACAGAAACTTGATCGACCCCACGCGCGTCACAGAGGTCTTGAAGCCATGCCTGCTTTGGTGAGCTATGCGGTCGCTGCTAGCCTGGCCGTTGCGGTGGCTGGTCAGCAGCTCGGCAACGCGCAGGAGTACCACATCCCAATGCCGGTGCAATCTTGCAGAAAGTATGGCGGCTGCCACGTCGAGCAGGCGGAAGTCGTCATGGACATGCAGTGGCGGTGGATGCACAACAAGGATGGCTACAGAAACTGCTTGCCTGGCGAATTCTGGGACACGGCCTTTTGCCCGGATCCAGCCACTTGCTCCAGGAATTGTGCCATGGAAGGAGTGGACCAAAATGCTTACACGCAGAATTACGGGGCCCATCAGCTCCAGAACGGCATCAAGCTAGACTGGCCCAAAGGCCCGCGAGTCTACATGCTTGACGGTCCGGATAAGTATAAGATGTTCAGGTTGCTGAACAAGGAGTTCACCTTTGATGTAGACCTTTCCACTCTTCCTTGTGGCCTGAATGCAGCTTTGTACTTCGTTGAGATGGACGAGTTCGGTGACCGCAGCGGCAGCAACCCGGGCGGTGCCAAGTACGGCACTGGCTATTGCGACGCGCAGTGCCCGCACATGAGGTTCATCCGTGGCGAAGCCAACCTGATAGGCTGGGAGAAGCTGCTCCAGAGAGAGAACCCCGATGGCCAGATCATTGCGGGCGGACACGAGGGTAAGTATGGCTATTGCTGCGCTGAGCTGGACGTTCTGGAGGCCAATCGTGATGCCGGGGTCTTCACATCCCACCCCTGCAACCGTGAGAAACAAACGATTTGCGAGGGCAAAGATCAATGTGGCGACAAGGGCGAGGGAAAGCTTGGGATTTGTGACAAGGATGGCTGCGGCTTCAGTGACTACCGCATGGGCAGCCCGCAGTTCTGGGGTGCCGGCCCGAATTTTGCTGTGGATACATCAAAGCCCATGACGGTCGTCACACAGTTCCTCACCCATGACGGTACGGACCATGGTGACCTCGTCGAAGTCCGCCGCTTCTACGTGCAGAACAATCAGGTCGTTCAGAACTCTCAGACCACTCTCTTGCCGAACGGCGGTGACTCTTTGACGGATGCTATGTGCAATGAGCAGAGCCATGTCTTCAAGCAGAAGACGAACGGCCACAGGGATCTGGGTGGTCTGAAGGCCATGGGTGAGGCTATGCGTCGTGGAATGGTCTTGTCGATGTCTATCTGGGACTCTGATTTCGACCGCATGTTGTGGCTTGATGGCGAGAAGAGTCGCTTCGACGATGACATGAGCCAGCCTGGCATCAAGCGCGGTCCTTGCCCCTTCCATTACGGCGACCGTGAGGACAATCTGCGCCACGCTGAGCAGCATGGCCCCATGTCCGTCACTTTCACAAACATCAGGTACGGCGACCTGGGTTCGACAATCCCTTTGGTGTGAGCAAGAATGTGAAGCCACGCTGATCGGATGAGCCATCCAAAGGAGAAAGCGACTCCTGTTTAATTTGTAGCATACGCAAAGGCACACACTAAGTGCCTACTGCTTGTCTAGCAACTTTTGCAGAATGCACTGTAAAACATGCTTTCTGATAATTAGTGCACTCACTGAAGTGCCTGATTTAAGTGCGTGATTTGTGTGCCCCGGCACCCGCATCCAACATAATTTGCTTCGCACATTTTGCGACCGTATCAGATCTTCCATGCCAGCATTGCCTTGACTATTCTTGGTGATCATATTGAGTGTGAGGCGCCTGCACTACCAAGTGCACAGATTTGCGCTGATGACTTGGCTTCAACAAGAGCCATGCTGTCAGCTCGACCAAAACCCCAGCTACCCTTCAAAAAGATGCCTGAAAATGCAGACCGCAAGGCCTCCATCAGAGTTACCGTGAGCACTGCACGAAAGCATTGTAGCGTCTCCCTTTCGAGCTCCTATATCAATCCGTATAAATCCCCTGGAGAATCTTCGGCATACACCTTCTAACCCCCCTTTATGGGGACTTATATAGTTATATGAGACTAATGTAGGGGCCCTTACCTGGGAGTAGGAGTTAAAGATTATAGCACAGACGAGGGCTCCCAGTACCTGGTGGCATCTGCTTCCAAGCTGAGGCCGGAGCTCTGAACCCCAAACCCTAAACCTAAACCCTATAGGGTTTAGGTTTACATATGGTTTATAAACCTTAAACCCTAAACCCTGAAAGCTAAACCCGAAACCAGCCGAAACCACCCGAAACCCTCAAACCCGAACCCCCTGAAACCCTGAAACCCCAAAGCCGCAACTCCCGACGGATCCGGAGGCTTTACGAGCCTTTTGCTGGACGTCTCAACTGGATGCCACCGCCGCAGCTCTCGACTCGTCTCAAGGGCCCCTTAAAAGCATAAGGTTACGGGTTTAAGGGCCTAGGGTTTAGGGCTTAGGGTTACATATGTAGGAGTGTTAGGTAGATGACCCTGTGCCCGAAACCTGACTCCGTGATCTGGTAGGTGATGTTGGCAGTATTTTAGAACCAACACAATCCCGACGGCTTAACCTTTAGTTCCTTTGGTAGAACGGACCAGTCCCAAAGCTTATGCGGCCGAAGGCACGTCATGTGGAGGAGGGTGCGTACGATGAGACTTCGTCGCGCGTATTCGACAAACAAAAGGGATCGAGCATCGGGCAACTTTACTCCCTAATGGAAGCCAAACCACGGGCTTCGAATGCTACATGTACATACCCTGAGCTTTCAACTTTGAATTTGTCTGAACATACGAACGTGTAAGTTGCAACCACAAGTGAAGCATACAATTCATGGCAAGACATACGAATGTGTCAGTTGCAAACACAAATGAAGAATACAAACTATAGAAGGAGGGAGAGGGAGGGAGAGAGAGAGAGAGAGAGAGGGAGCGAGCGAAAGAGGAAGCCTGTTTGGCTTTACATGGTCTTCCTGTTACTTGTAATGGTTGTAACACAGCGGTCGGATCTGTTGTGAGATAATATGCCATGCGTAAACTTGATTGATGGTAGAAGCGATAAAACTGCGACTTGTGCGCAGCCTTCAGGTTGCGGGTCTGGTGTTGAATCGGGCGCAGAAGAGTGTCACTAAAGTGGAGCGACGGCGAGCAAGTTTCCCATCACCACGGCAGTGAGATGCAGCAGCCAAGGATTTTGAGCGCTTGTGCAGGCAGAACAAGCCCGATATCGCAATTCACGCAGCAAGACCTATCACGGACATTCCCATTGCTCATGGCAAATATGAGGCGTAAAGACTTATTTGTCACAACCCTTGTACTGCAGTGGAAGACTCTGTGCGTGCTGGCACATGCAAGTGGCTCAAGCCTCAAGGGAGCTCCCGGGACATCGCAGAAGCCAGAACGCTGCACCTCGAAGTCAGAAATCTGATTGCGAAGAACTCGATCCCATAGCTCCTAGAAAAGCCCTCAACACCACATCTTTGACGCACTGCTTCTGCGGACTTTGGCATCGTCGGTCGGAGCCCACATGATGGGTACTTAGCCGGTAGCGATTTGTGTATAAGCAGCTTGGTGTGAGGTATGGTTTTAAGATGTAATTTAGTTGTAAATAGTTGTCAGATGCAGGCGATTTCACGATCTGTTGTGACATCTTTTAATGCTACGAACTTAGCAACGACGCAAGCACGGCCGTCCTGCACCACTTTGCCCGAGCGTGATGGCTGGGCACTTAGATGGCCAACATGTTCAAGCAGACCAACTCCCAGCTTTGCGTTGATGACATCGATCTTCCTTTTGGTGTGGGGCTTTGCAGGTTTGGTGCTGAACAATGCCAAGTTTAACTCGCTATTGCTATCACGGTTGTGCCTGTTTCTCAGCTGTGTGAGGATGAGTTGGCGAGCAAGATTTGCCAGCTCAGGAATCAAGGAGGGGTCCCTACCAAGCAAACTCTTCAATCAGGGTGGCAAGGTGTCACCTCGCTCATCTGAGCGAGTGGTGCATGAGCTTCATGCGACCGGCAGGTCACTGCCCTGAAGATCGCTCTTAGATTCTATAGAACCGCGAAATGCGGCACGTGTTCTGATTTTTATATAGGGTTTTAGCTACTATTGTAGCGCTCTTCCAATATGGGGTTTTGGAAAGTAGAGACAGCAGCTCCTTAAAGACTTGAATAGTAACGGCATAAAATACACAACTAACGGTTTGACTGTCTTGTAACTTTCTTGGCCCTCTGGACATGGAGGCTTTGGCTCCAGTAGCCTTGGGTTTGGCAGGGGCGTCGCCGCTCGGAAGCAGAACCTTGGGCAAGGTTTCTGGGTTTCAGAGTGACTTGTTATGGGTATACTTGCAACCTGAAATCGTAAGCCATGTGGGCTTAGAGGTGTAAGGCTCAAACACGTTCAAGATGGTAGGGTTCATGGCTTCAGCATTTAGTTTTCACGGTGTAGTTTAGTAGTTTGGGGCCCGGCATCAGGCAGGGTTCGTGACACCAGCGAGACCAGGAAATGTCATGTTCACACCCGAAACAATGTGCCAAAATGGGTGACAAACAGCAAGTACCTGGAATACTCAACTCTGGCTCTCCCAAGTCTTGAAGATCCAGACCTTTTGAAGCTCCATACCGTAGGTCCAAGTTATCTGAAACCGGAAACCCAAAACCCCTTGCCGTAAAACGGGCTCGTCCTAGCAAAGGTAGGAGGCAAAATAAGCCTGTACGCCTTAAGCCCTGGACCTACCAAACCGAACCCCTAAGCAATCGAAACCGTCAACTTTATGGACCTTGCTTCTCAAGCACCTATATAAGCCCCAAGTCGTAACCCAAAGCCCTACACCGCTGGCCATCTGGACGGCACTGCCACGAACTCCCAGCTACATCTTTCAGGCTGACGGTGGCTGATGGATCCTCAGAGTCTCAGGGCTTGTGGTTCAGTAGGATTATTCTAAGGGAAGCAAGTAGGGGTCTCTCTAGTTAGAGTAGGGTTTTGGACATCCTGCAGCATGTTTATATTCATTAAGGGCTCACGGCCTTTGACGAGTGCTATCAAGGTGTTTCTGACTGTTGCGTGTTTGGTTCGAGGATTTGGAGTTTTAAGGTCCGGGCTTCATGCTTTGAAGCTTTCGGAGCCCCGTCCCGTGGATCTCCCGACGGCGGGTTGAGGGCTTCAGGGGTTTAGGGTGTCCTTTTGTTTTGGCTGCAACAGGATGTGCTGGTTTGCGGGCAGCGTTTGCCGTAGAGGTTCTGGGGCTAACGGGCCATGCAGCCTAAGTCATGACACGCAAACATGTGCGTTTCCATTTATAAGGGGGCTGGCGCACTTCTGTGAAGACATGTCTTGGCCTTGGTGGTTGCAGTACGGCTTGCATTGCTATGTCCTTGCTGAGTTCCTCTCGATCACCGTGAAAATAGAATGTTAGACGCCATGCCCAGGCATAGGCTGAAGCCATAAAACCACCCAAAACCCTAACGAGCGTCCATGAACGGTCAAACAGAAGATGCCATGAAATCCAAGACGTCGGAGGTTGCTTTTGAGAATAGGGTTCAAATTTTACGGCTTGGGGCGGTAAGAGTTGCTGGAAAGGTTTCAACGGTTGCTACAAGACTGGTTCCAGCAGTTTGGAGCTTGTGCGTCGGAGGTTGCTTCAGATTTAAAGATGTGGTCTTACGGTTGAGGATGGGGATCTTCAGGATGCAGGCTTTCGCATTTCCCATCTGCCTCGTGGCTGCCAAGGCCACGATAGCACATGCATGTGCACAGTCCTTTGTTTCTTGCTGCGCTGCAACTGCGCCAGTAGTGCCTGGCAAACGGGTGCGCCAGCGACAGAAGCACGATACATGTACACGTGTGCACGCATTCACGTGACCGAATCGGCGAACTAAGCGAAATTCGGCGTCTTCCACGGGGCCTGGGCCGTGTCAGCTGATCATGAGCAAGTAACAGCAGTTTTGCAGAACATGAAGTGATACGTTACCGAGAAACAGCAGCACCGTGCAAGCACCACCACCGTGGCCCAAGAAGCTCTGACTTTTCCCCAGGCGGTAGATCGCATCTCCAAGCGCTTTGCGAAGTGGACGACTCAAGACTTTGCGATGTCCAGTCGTGGCTAAGGCTTTCAGGGCTCAAAGTTGCAAGTCAACCAGGGACCTTACACACTGTAGTGTATGTTTCTTGCAGATCTTGGACTTGAACTTAGTAGGAGAGAAAAGAGGGGCATAAGACACAGCTTCCGTATGTCAAAAAGCATTGCTCCGACAGGCGGGAAACTTCTAGCAACCGGTCAGCACTGATCTGAAAGCCCTATAGTCCCCATATTAAGTTGACAGATGACTTCAGACTCTGTACGATCTATTGGCACGCATGCCCGCAGATAATTAAGTCGCTCGACTGGGAACACTGCATTTACACCGCTTACACTTGCTACCAGTCTTCCAATACACAGTTCAAAGTACCTCCAAAACTCTCAGTCGCCGAGGATTCAGGGCCA